TTTCCCCCTCAAGACTGGTATTCTACAACTTGAGCTCCACTTCCAGCCTTTTTTTTTGTCAGTCTTGGGGCTTGAACTGTGGGCCTGGGTGGTGTCCCTGAGCTCCTAAGTTCAAGGCGAGTGCTCTACCACTTGAGCCACAGTGCCACTTCTGGTTTTCTGGTGGTTGGAGATAAGAGTCTCTCAGGCTTTCCTGCTGAAGCTGGCTTTGAACCGTGATCCTCAGATCTCAGACTCCTGAGTAGGTAGGATTACACGCATGAGCCACTGGCGCCTGGCTATATACTTTCAGCTTTTTGATGTTTAATTGGAGATAAGAGTCTTGCAGTCCTTGAATTTTAATTTTCAGCTTTTAGGCTCCAAAGTAGCTAGGATTACAGACATGAGTTACATGCATCCAGTCCCCCCTTTTTTGTGTGGGGTGGTAGAGGAAAGAAAGACCCTATTCTTGGGACTGTGTTACTGCCTCCTTTTCTTCCCACCACCCAACAAGTGATAGCTGAGCTAACATCTGAGTAAAGAATTATTAATTTTGCTGGGTACTGATGACTCATGTCTATAATCCTTGTTACTCAGGAAGCTGAGATCTGAGGATCCTAGTTTGAAGTTACCCCAAACAGAAAAGACAGAGAGACTCTTGTCTCCAATTTAACAGTAAAAGAGTAGACGTGGAGGTGTGGCCCAAGTTGTAAAGTGCCATCCTTAAAAAAAAAAATTAACTTCACATACCAGAGTAAACCTGTGCCCCTTTCTCTTTCTCCTCCTCCTTGTAAGTGCTAGGGATTGAACCCAGGGCCTTGAGTATGCTAGGTCAGCATTCTGACAGTTTCTTACCAGTGGTTTTGCTCCCATGATTTCAGTTAGCATGTCATCAGCTGTAGTTCTAAGTTATCAAATGTAAAGTTTCAAAATAACAAATTGGTGACAAAGTCTTGATCATCCTCGCTAGGTCATGGATTACACCCTCCTTTTTTTTCTCCCAGCATATTTACAGATATTCTTGGTTTGTTTAGGTATGGGGTTCTACAGAGATTGTCAGTGAAGAAGAAAAATGTGAATATTCAAGATGCGTACAATTCAGTGTGGTACTAGAAATACTTGGTTCATTTTTTCATTAAAGACATGCCACCATTTAACAAATCTCAAATTTTTACTTTATCATTTAAATTAAGCACATTAACTTGTACCTTGACATTTTGGTACTATTAGCTATTTTGGAGGCATATTTTCAAAAATTAAGAGGTTGCAAAGACTCAACAGACCACAACTAGGCATAATTAGGTCTTAGAGCTTCCCCACATCAGCTGAGTTTTGTAATGCATGATTAGGAATTTAAATTTTTTTTGAAATTTCTTTTGATTTTAAAACTTACTATTTTTTTGAACACATTTGGTCAAAGCTACTTGTAAGAAATCTGAAAGCCGGGCGCTGGTGGCTCACGCCTGTAATCCTAGCTACTCAGGAGGCTGAGATCTGAGGATCGCGGTTCAAAGCCAGCCCGGGCAGGAG